ATTTAGTGGTTCCCTTTTTCTTGGCTCATTTAGCTTTTTATTAATGATTTGGAAAAGGTCTTTATATTTTGAATACTAGCTCTTTGACAGGTAAATACTTTATAAATATTTTCTCCCACTCTATGGCTTATTTCTTTACTCTTTATAATGGATTTCCTTCATAATTGAGCTATAAATTATGTTTACATTGTTGTACAACTTTGTTTTCAATGTAATTAATATTACCTTTTTTTAAAAGTGAGGGTGATGGTTGGTTGTCCATATATCTACCACTAATTCATACTCAAAGTTTTCCAGAAAATAAATCTTTGGGAAATCTGTGAGTTTCGTGTGTTTAAAGACAGACCTGCAGGGGCCAGCCTGGTGGCGCAAGTGGTTAAGTGCACGCGCTCTGCTGCGGCGGCCCGGGGTTCACTGGTTCGGATCCTGGGCGTGCACCGATGCCCCGCTTGTCAAGCCATGCTGTGGTGGCGTCCCATATAAAGTGGAGGAAGATGGGCACAGCACGGATGTTAGCCCAGGGCCAGTCTTCCTCAGCAAAAAGAGGAGGATTGGCAGATGTTAGCTCAGGGCTGATCTTCCTCACACACACACAAAAAAGACCTACAATCTTTTGTTTTCTCTGCCAACTATGTTTGTACAACTGTTATTCTAGAATTTGCCTGCTTTTTGAATTCTGTACTCTTCTCTGTTGAGTTTTTGTTTCTTGGATTCCATGCCTTCCTATTTCTTGGTTTACTCCAAAAAAATTCCAAATATCAAAATTGGTTTTTGATAGAGGTGGCATGTAAGAAGGGATAAATATATTAAATTTGTGAGTTCTAGTATATCTGAAAAGGACTTTTTAAACCAGTATATTGATTCTTTGGCAGGGCATGGAATTCTACTTGAAATTATTTTCCCTCAAATTTGAAGTTATGACTTCTTAGAATATTGTTGAGAACTCCAAAGCCATTTTCATTCCTGGTCTTTGTTTATGCACTGTTTTCACTCTTGGAAGCCTTTTAGGGTCTTTTCTTTGTTCCCAGTGTCCTGAAACCTAATGTGTCTTAGTGTTAATCATTTTTATTCTTTATGGTAGGTATCAAGTGAGCCTATTAAATGTGGAGATTCATGTCCTTCAGTTCTGGAAAATTTTCTTAAATGCTACTTTTAAAAATCTGTAATTTCTGTTTTCTTTGAAAATTTTCCAATGTACGGAAAAATTGAAAGAATATTTCAGTGAACCCCATATAGCCATCACCTAAAATCACCAATTGTTAACATTTTGCCACATTTGCCTTATCTTTCTAAATACACACACACGCACAAATTTTTTCCCCTGAATCATTTGAAGGTAAGTTGGAGACATTCTGACATTTTAACTTTAATACTTTTAGCATGCATCTCCTAAGTATAGGACATTTTCCAAACAATTACAATGACTTATCAAATCTATGAAATTTAACATTAACTCACTAATATCACTGCAAACACTTCATGTTCACCTGTCTCCAGTGGTTCCCCAAAATGTCTTTTTTGGGGGCTGGCCCCGTGGCGTAGTGGCTAAGTTTGGTGCACTCCATTTTGACGGCCCAGGTTCACAAGTTTGGATCCCAGGTGCAGACCTACATCACTCATCAGCCATGCTGTGTTGGCAACCCACATACAAAATAGAGGAAGATTGGCACAGATGTTAGCTCAGGGCTAATCTTCCTCAGCAAAAAAAAAAAAAAACAAACTCCTATTTTAGCTGATGTTATGTTTTTTTGTATGTTTACTTGGTTGGTTGTTTGCTTGATCTAAGATCCAATCAAGATTCATGTATTATTTTGGTTGTAGGTCTCTTTAGTTTCTTTTAATCTAGAACAGCTTCTCATTTTTTGTTTGTTTTATATGATATTGAATGTTTTCGAGAATTCATGACAGTTGTCTTATAGAATATCTCACAACCTCCATTTGTCTGATGGCTTCCTAATGGAAATAGGAGGCTTAGATTCAGCGTAAGTATTTTTGGCAAGCATACTGTACTGCGTAGGAGATATGATGGTGTACCTTTTATTTCATTATATCGGAAGGCACAAATGTCAGGTTATTCCAGTATTGATGATGCCAAGTTTTATCACTTAAGGTTAAAGGTGGTGATATTCCAAATCTTTCCAGTATAAAGGTATATTTTTTCCTTTATAATTAGTAAATTATAGTCTGTGTAGTGATATTATGAGACCAAGTGAATATTCTTTTTCCCAACAACCAATCACTTTCTGGTTTTAGAATTAATTGAGGATCCTTACCTGAATCAATTATTAGATTGGTGATTTCAAAATGGCGATTTTCAGGTTCCTTCATTCCTTCTAGCACCCTGCCTGACATTTGTCAGATGCTTCGCACACTTTTAAAAATCATCTCCTCCCATTAGATGTTGAGCTGCCTTGAATGACCTTCCAACTTTCTTTCCTATTTTCAATTTCCACATCTTTTTGTACTTTTTAAAGAAATTTCTTTCATTTATCTTGTAAGTCTTCTAATGATTTGTTTTTATTCCCACTTTATATTTTTATTTTCTAAGAATTATTTTTTGTTTCTTATTCCTTTTATGTTATCCTATTCTTCTATCATGTGAAATAGATTCTCCTATTCCTCTGAGGGTATTAATGGTGGCTTCTGGAATTTTCTTTGTTTTCCTATGTAGTTTCTCTTCTCAGTTCTTTTGGGCTTTGTTTAATCTCTTTTACATTACAGCCTTTCCTCAAATATGTGATGATATTTGCCAATCTGTATTTTAGAGTGGACGCTGAGAAGCTGATTTAACTTTTTGTATGCCAACTGGTAGACTTTCTTAGGTATGTAGTGCCTCCATTTCTTAAGCTTCTGTGGGGTTCTGCAGCATAAATCATCCCCTTTTGGGTTTTCCTCACTTTTGGCTTAGGTTTCATCTTTCTTTGGTTTGTTAAGTTAGTCATCATTTATCTTCATGCTTTCTAGCTTCAAAAGTTTTGTGGCTGCTATTTCCTCTTTAAATCTCTTTGACTTTGTAGGTTTGTTTGTTTTAAAAAAAATCCATTTCATTCATTTTAGTGAGGTTTTAAAAAGAGCAGGAATAATACATGTGATGCACTTGTCCTGTTTGAGAGAAAGTATATCCGCTTTCTAGAGAAATCTTGTTTTTAGAAGTTTATTTTTAAAAATAATAAATTTTGAAACTATTACATTAGCCATTATTACATTAGCCATTCAGTAAATATATTTTGATCTTTTTGTGTGTTCCAGGGTCCAAGTTGATTAAAGTAACAGGCATTATCCTTGCCTTCCTGAAACTTGGCTCTATTGTAGCAGACAGACATTAAGCAAGCATTCAAACAAATATGAAATTTGCAATTGAAGGGGACAAATATGTAATCACCCATTATCAAAACAACAAAGAAAGGAAGAAAAAACAAAAATTACAAAAAATACTTTGAGAAATCATGAGAGGATGTGCATAATTAAGACTGAGTATTCAGAAGAGATCTTTGTTAGGATATGCCATTTAGCAAAGACCTAAACAATGGCCAAGAACTTGCAAGGCCAATAGTGGGGGCAGTGGGGAGGGGGTATGGAAGAATATTTCAGGCAAATGAAATCATTGGGGAGGGGGAGTGTTATAGTTTAGCGCATTTGAAGAACTGAGAAAGCCAGTTTAGCTATAGCTTGCTGTTGAGGGGAGAGAGATATCAGGCAGGAGACAGATCTCTGAGGAATTTTTAAGACCAAGTTAAGGAATGTGGGTCTTATCCTAAGGACAATGGGAAACCACTGAAGCGTTCTGAGCAGAACAGTGCCAGGCTGAATATCACTCCGGCTGCTAAGGGTGCAAAACTGGAAATGCAAGCAGCTAGATAAATGCTGGGTTTAATGTCCAAATAAAAGATAATTTTGGCTTGGGTCATCTGTTGACAGTGGAGATGGAAAGAACAATTTCAAGACATATTTAGGCCTAGTCTAAACAAGCTTGCTGTATGAGTGTTACAGGAAGGGAATGGAGCTGAGATGTTTTCACCTTTTGGGGCTTGAGGTATTTGCTCAGGGTCTTAATTGATGTCTTTAAATCCCTTCTTTTTCCTGGTCTCTTTTATGGCATATAAGTCTTCCAAAATAATAGCTACCAAACACTGTGCAGTTACTTTATACAACTACATAAATAGATTATATGTGATTTCAGAATCATTCAGTAATCATCAGAGCTGGGGCTTTAGAATACTCGTCTGTCTGCATCCTTCTTGTAATCTTCCAGTGGTATTACATTACTTCCTATCTTCTCTTCCCTTCTCTCTAACTTAAACTAGATTCTCAAATACTCTGCTGTAGCCTTTCCTGAGTCCCCTCTTTTGTTCTCCCAAGGTTAGTCTCGTAGACTTTCTAGGCAAACGTGGATTTTATCAAATGGCAAAAACAAACCACAGAAGAATCTTCCCTCTCCATTGCTCATCCAAGACTTATTCAGCACATTAATCTTTCATCAGGATACTGCTCCATTTGGAGTAACTTTCTCTTCTAGCTCCTTCAGATTATATGCAATTTATGTTTGTTACTTGACCATCTAGCCTAGATTTTTCCTTCCAGGTGTAGTTACTTAATGCTCCAAACAACCCTAAGAAATGGGTTAAATGGTAATAACCCTTATTTTTAAATGTATATGACACTAGATTTATCCTCTAACAAGACTGGCATGGGGCCTGGACATCTTTGTATTTATCAAGCTCCCATGTCTGTAGGGGATTTTTATTTAAAATGCTATTTAGGAATAATTGACTTAATCTGTTATCTTAAATACCTCCATCACCTTGCAGTGTGACTTCTCATTCTTTCTACTTTCCTTATCTATTTGTCACATTACCCAGTCATATTTGAGAACCATATAAGCTACTCACTTTTTATGAAAATTAGTTTCAGTTAAGTCTTTTCATATCTATTTTAAAAGTTTTATTTCTCCCAGAACACAAAAAAAGTGAATGTTTGCTTTTATATTTTCTTTCAGACTGTGAATCAAGGTTGAGACCAAGAAATTATTTCTGAAAAAAAGGATATTTATGGAATAGAATCATCCTGATGGGAGATAATGGAAAGACTTATAAGAAACAGCATTGAGTGTTCAAGTTTCAGAGGTGATTGGGAATGTAAAAGCCAGTTTGAGAGAAAACAGAAATCTCAGGAAGGACATTTCAGTCAAATGATATTTACTCCTGAAGACATGCCCACTTTCAATACCCAGCTTCAGAGAATTCATACTGATGAGAAACTCCTTGAATGTAAGGAATGTGGGAAGGATTTTAGTTTTGTATCAGTCCTTATACGACATCAGCGAATTCATACTGGTGAGAAACCTTATGAATGTAAAGAATGTGGCAAGGCTTTTGGTAGTGGTGCAAACCTTGCTTACCATCAAAGAATTCATACTGGTGAGAAACCTTATGAATGTAGTGAATGTGGGAAAGCCTTTGGTAGTGGCTCAAACCTTACTCACCATCAGAGAATTCATACTGGTGAGAAACCGTATGAATGTAAGGAATGCGGGAAAGCCTTTAGTTTTGGATCAGGCCTTATTCGACATCAGATAATTCACAGTGGTGAAAAGCCTTATGAATGTAAGGAATGTGGAAAGTCCTTTAGTTTTGAATCAGCCCTTACTCGGCATCACAGAATTCACACAGGTGAGAAACCTTATGAATGTAAGGATTGTGGGAAGGCCTTTGGCAGTGGTTCAAACCTTACTCAACATCGGAGGATTCATACTGGTGAGAAACCCTATGAATGTAAATCATGTGGAATGGCCTTTAGCAGTGGTTCAGCCCTTACTCGGCATCAGAGAATTCATACTGGTGAGAAACCATATATATGTAATGAATGTGGGAAAGCTTTTAGTTTTGGATCAGCCCTTACCCGACATCAAAGAATTCACACTGGTGAGAAACCTTATGTATGTAAGGAGTGTGGGAAGGCTTTTAATAGTGGCTCAGATCTCACTCAACATCAGAGAATTCACAGTGGTGAGAAACCCTATGAATGTAAGGAATGTGAGAAAGCCTTTAGAAGTGGTTCAAAGCTTATTCAGCATCAAAGAATGCACACTGGTGAGAAACCCTATGAGTGTAAGGAATGTGGGAAGGCCTTTAGTAGTGGTTCAGACCTTACTCAGCATCAGAGAATTCATACGGGTGAGAAACCCTATGAATGTAAGGAATGTGGGAAAGCTTTTGGTAGTGGCTCAAAACTTATTCAACATCAGCTAATTCACACTGGTGAAAAACCCTACGAATGTAAAGAATGTGGAAAGTCTTTTAGTAGTGGCTCAGCTCTTAATCGGCACCAGAGAATACACACTGGTGAGAAACCCTATGAATGTAAGAAATGTGGAAAGACTTTTGGTACTGGCTCAAGCCTTACTCAACATCAGAGTATTCATACTGGTGAGAAACTTTATGAATGTAAGGAATGTGGGAAGGCTTTTGGGAGGGGTACAAAGATTCGGCAACATAAGAAAACTTATATTGGTGAGAAGCCCTGTGAGCTGGAAACTCTATAGGTAGGAATTACATGGTTAAGGAAGGACACACGACACATAAGAAAATTCAGACTAGTGCGAGTCCCTACATATGTAATTAAGGTACAAATGCCTTATTTATGCTTTACCACTTAGTCTGAGAGAATTTACACAGGGAAAAAAACCCACTCTGAATAAAATAAATATTTAAAGATCTTGATTTTTATTCCTTCATTATTTTTGGAAAATTCATACTTGTGAATATTAAAAATTGAAAAACCTTTTATTGTATTTTGCCTTTATTTTAAACATTGAAAAACTTATTTGGGAGCTAACCCTGCTACTTTTATTTTTTTTAACGTTCTTAACTTTTTGTGGATTATACAGAATTACTACTGATCCATCTCAAAATTATTTTTAATTATTTATTGAGAGTCTACTTTACCCTTTTTCTCCCTCCCCTGTTTCTCATCCTAACACCATTTATTCAATAACTGTGTTTATTTTTGTATTGTTCTTTTATTGACTGTTTGATGGAAAGTTATATTTTTATACATATAAAACTTGGATATCAGGTCACTCTTTGTTTTTCAAATTTGCATATCTGTGTTTCATCCTGTTTGTGTTAAGTTACTGTTACTTTTAAGTATTCTTTAATATCTCATGGATCTGTACCTTTTTTTATTTTGGAAGATTATTTCATTTTCCTTTTATAAAGTTTATATTTTTCTTTTTGCAAAAACATTTTTCTTCTATAAAAATGTAGATATGAACAAAGAAAAACCAGGTACAGTTATTTGTAATATTACCAGTCATAGACAATCACTGTCAAATTTTTGGAACAAACACTTTAGGATTATATATCATTGTTTTTGAAAGAAAGTGTGATTATGCTACAGTGTAATCAGCATTTAATATTCTTTGTAAATATGTTGTTAGTGTTTTATTGGCTTGAAAGTTTTCATCTGTCTTTATCAAACCTCTATTTTGTCAAATATTGAAAATTTTTCCATTATAAAGAGTGACTTTAATGGCCCCTTTGAATGTGTCTGCTTTATTTATTTTTTATTTCAGAGAAAATGTGTGGATCTCTTCTGCTTTTAGAAATTTATACATTACAGATAAAGCTGTGCTTCCCTTTGACCAACATCCCTACCTCAGTTATTTCCCCAATGTTAACCAACTTATTCTTTCAGATCCTTTTATATGTGTATATATAATGTGTTTATGGTAATGTGGGTATAATTAGTGTACTTCAGAGGCTTGTTATGTGGATTCTATAATTTTGCCTATCACATAATAAATAGTTGTTTAGTATTAGGAATCATCATTGTTTTTATCTTAATCTTTGTTATTTATGGAAAAACTTTTAATCACAATCCATACCTTACTCAACATCAAAGACATTAAAATGAAAAAGAGACATTCATGTAAATGAATATAGGAAAAGTTTGATCGATATTCATTCCTTATTGGACAAGGGATAATTCATCTTAAAGAAAAATATGAGATTGTAAAGTATAAGAAGGCAAAGTGCATCATAAAATTCATACCAAGGTGAAAGGAAAAATAGGGTAGCTCTTCCATAAAAGTCTGAATACTGAGGAATGATGTCAGCATTGTGATGGCATAAGATGCCCCTCCATCCCCCACCCCCCGTTTGAATAACTTAAAATTCAGCATTCATCCACAAACAAAAGTGCCTCTGTAGGAGTTGTGGGATCCAACACCATATGTTAAGGGACCTGGGAGGAGTCTCGCCCACCTGTGCATCAAGTAATAGGTAGACTGTCCTTGGTACAGGCTGTGGAACCAGCAGGAGTCTGTGAAACAGCCCCAGCTCCTCTTGGCCACACTGTTGGGTCCACTTCTGCTCGAGAGTGCTGATTTGGGCAGACACCCACAGATGAGAGAGCCTTTGTAGATGTCCAGGTTTTCTAAGAAGAGATCCAGCACTCTGTTTCTGTTGGAGCAAAAAAAAAAAAAAAAAAAAGAGTTGGATGCATTGGAAAGAGTGAGATGAACTTTGGCAGCGCTGCCCCTTCCCCAAGGCGGCACAGCAATGAGCTGAATTAGCAAGTGACAGCCTCTCCTATGGAGGAAAGGGAGAGTGGTGAGTGAGTGACCAGATTCCCCATTTCCAGAAGCCCATTTCTCTCCTCCAGCACCCAGAGTATTTGGACAGTACCTCCATGACTAGGGAGAGGGAGGAGATTGGGAAAGAGGCAGATAAGAATATCCAAGTGCATTAAAGGAAAGTGGTTCCTACTGACTGCATTCAGGACTCCAGCAGGAAGCCCACCATGAGCTTCTGGGAAAACCTCACAGATACCCCCACCTGGCTTGCAGGCACCCCTGAATGTTAAACCCACACCTCCCCCCATTCTGCAGCTGGCTCCTTGTGCATGCTCCCAAGTGCAACAGTGGGAGACAGTTCCAGTAGAAAGGGAGAGCATGCAGAAAACAGGACAGTCTGTGGGCTAGGGCGAAACCACAAACTTGAGCTGTAGTATCTTCTTAGCAAAAACAAAGTTTCCAGCAGCCAGCCTGGTGAGTTGTAAGATTGAGAGAAGACATAAAAGCTTAAGAATTCTGCCATGAGGGAGCAAGAAGCATGGAGCAGAGAAAGCCTCCGATATAAGCAGGACCAACGAAAATTATCTCCCACTTGAAGGCAACTAATAACGATTGGAGGAGGTGACTGCTTTCTCAAATGTGAAAATAGCAATGCAAAACTCCAAGGAACATGAAGAATCAAGGAAACTTGAAATCACAAACAGGTCTCAATAATCCTCCAGTAACCAAACTCAAAGACACAGAATTTTGTGATTTGCCTGATAAAGAATTCAAAATAGCTGCTTGGAGGAAACTCAATGAGCTACAAGAAAACACAGAAAGACAATTCAATGAATCAGGAAACAATACATGAACAAATTGAGAAATTTAACAGAGAGATAGAAATCAAAAATGAACCAAACAGAAATTCTGGAGCTGAAGAATTGAATGAGTGAAATGAAAACTGCAATAGACAGCTTCAACAGTAAAACAGACCAAAGAAAAGATAGAATCAGAGAGAGAGAGAGGATAGGAACTTTGAAAGAACCCAGTCAGAGGAGAACAAAGAAAGAAGAATGAAAAAGAGGAAAGAAAGCCTACATGATCTATGGGACACCATAAAATGAACAAATATCAGAATCCCTGGAGTTCCAAAAAGAAGAGAGAGAAGAAGGGGGAAGAAAGTTTATTTAAAGAAATAATTGCTGAAAACTTCACAAACCTGGGGAGAGACTTGGATATCCAAAATCACGAACCTAATAGATCACACCATTATCTCAATTCAAAATGACCTTCTCTTAGACTCATAATGAAACTTTCAAAAATCAAAGACAAAGAGAAAATCCTAAAAGCAGCAAGAGGAAAAAAGGTTGTAATCTACAAATGAACCCCCATTAGGCTGTTAGTGGATTACTCAGCAGAAACCCTACAGGCCAGGAGAATGGAATGATATACTCAAAGATTTGAAAGAAAAAAATTGCCAGCCAAGAATACTCTATCTGATGAAGTTATCCTTAAGAAAAGAAGGAGCAATAAGCTTTCCCAGACAAATCAAAGCTGACAGAGTTCATCACCACCTTACAAGAAATGCTGAAATGTGTTCTTCAAGCTGAAACGAAAAGATGCTAACTAGTAATATGGAAACACAGGAAAATATACTAATATGGAAACACAGGAAAATATACAACACACTAGTAAGGGTAAATATACAGTCAGATTTAGAAAACTTTAATTCTGTAATGTGGTGTGTTAATCATTTGACTGGAGTATAAAGGTTAAAGGAAAAGAGTATAAAAAATAACTATTAGTGACTGTAATTGGTTAATGAATATACAATATAAAAAGAGGTAAATGGCAAAATTAAAAACATAAAGGGGGGAATAAATGAAGTAAAACTTTTGTTTGTGATCAAAGTTAAGTTGCTGTCAGCTTAAAATGAACTGTTTCATCTATAAGATGTTTTATGTAAGCTTCATGGTAACCATAAAGTAAAAAGCTGTAGTAGATTCACAAAAGATAAGGGGAATCAGAGCAGAGTACCATGAAAGATCACCAAATCAGAAAAGTCAGCAGAAAGAGAGGAAAAAAAGAACAATGGAACTACAAAACAGCCAGAAAGCAATAAGATGGTATTAGTAAGTCCTTACATATCAATAATTACTCTAAATTTAAATGGATTGAATTCACTGATCAAGAGGCACAGAATGGCTGGGTGGATAAGACCCAACTATTTGCTGCCTCCAATGACTCACTTCAGCTTTAAGGTCACACAAAGGCTCAAAGTGAAGAGATGGAAAAAGATATTCCATGCAAGTGGAAACCGAAAGAAAGCAGGGGTTGCCGTATGTATATCAGACAAAATAGACTTTAAACCAAAAACTGTAATAAGATACAAAGAAGGTCATAATAGAATGCCAAAGAGGTCAATTCATCAAGAAGATATAATAATCATAAATGTTATGCACCCAACATTGGAGCACCTAAATATATTAAGCAAATACTAACAGATATGAAGGGAGAAATAGATAATTCAGTAATAGTAGGGGACATCAGTACCCCACTTTCAGTAATGGATAGATCATGCAGAGAAAAAGTCAACAAGGAAACGTTGGTCTTGAACCATACATTAGACCAAATGAACCTAACAGACGTATATAAAACATTCCATTCAACAGCAGCAGAATACACTTTCTTCTCAAGTGCACAAGACATTCTCTAGGATAAATCATAGGTCACAAAAAAAGTCTTAAGAAATTTAAGAAGATTAACATCATACCAAGTATCTTTTCCAACAACAATAGTATGAAACTAAAAATCAACAAGAAGAAGAAAGCTGGAAAATTTACAAATATTTAGAAACTAAAAAAAACACTCATGAACAACCAGTGGTTCAAAGAAGAAATCAAAAGAGAAATTTAAAAAAAAATCTTGAAACAAATGAAAATAGAAATAACACACAAAAACCTA